GTTATTATTATAATTTATTTATTTACAGATTAAAGTGTAGGGATGGGAACGGTTCAACCCAAACCGGTTCAACCGGCGATTCGAAACCAAACTGATGCGGTTTGGTTTACACATTTCAAACCGCGGTTAAACCCCAGTTCAAACCCCAGTTCAGTGGTCCTGACCAATAAAAATTAACTACGTTTTTTTAATTTTTTTTTTAGAATGTACCACCAATATATTCCTTAAAAAATATTTTTTTTGCAAGAATGTCAATTGACGAAAGAATTGATAATGCTGCACTTTCACCTACTTCAATCATTCAAATTTTTGATAATGATACCAATAATAGTTCATAATCATCCAAATTCCTGATATCAATAATTCAATTCAAATACATGACATTATGCTTGTACCTTCCATTTCATCATCATCATCATCATTGTCATCATCATCATCATCAATTGTTCAAATTCCTAATAATTCACAAATAATTAGAACTGCTTCAAAAGTAGATGAATATTTTACAAGAAATAATGAAATTCAGAAGTGTCGTGTTTGTGCAGCTACATATAGTGGAATTGGGAAAACTTCAACTGGTACTTTAAAAAATCACATCAAAACCAAACATCCAAATGAATATCAAAGATGTGTTCAAACAACTTTAAATTTTCAACGAATTAACCCATATCCCCCAAAGAAAATTTTATGAAAACTAAAGTTATGATCAATTGGATAATTATGAATATGCAACCTTTTTCTATTGTAGAGGATAATTTTTTTATAGAAATGATTAAGAAATTTGATCCACCTTACTAAATGCCATGTTGTAAATACAAATTGTCAAAAAATTCACGAAACAACAACAACATGTTAAAAACCATATTCAAGATGTAAAAAATAAAATATTATTAACATTGGATATTTGGACATCTGAAAATTCTCACACATCATTTCTTGGGGTTACTTGTCACTATATCAATGATGAATGGAAACTGAAACATTTTTTACTTGACATTATACCATTTCATGAATCACATAGTGCTGAAAATATGGTGAATGCTGTAAAAATTCTTTTAGTAGAATTAGGTGTGTCATCAAAGGTATTAGGAATAACAACAGATAATGCATCTGCAATGGTAGCTTTTGGAAGAGGAATAAAAAGTGAGTTGGGTATTAATCATAATAATCCACATGTTACTCACCATTGTTGTGGTGCTCACATACTTAATATTGCTGTACAGCATGGGCTGCAAGTTCACAATGACACAATTAAAAAAGTACGCAATTTCATGAAAAAAATTCGTAACTCTATTAATCTTATGGAGGATTTTAAGCAAATATTTCATTCACAATCAATTGAATTCTTATCACCACAACTTGATATAGAGATCAGGTGAAACTCCACCTATTTAATGCTCAACAAAATGAAACAATTTAAAACACAAGCAAGTATGTTGGCGGCACAACATCCTGATATATTAAATCATCTCAATCCTGATGAAAATGACTGGCTTAAAATAAATGTAGGTGTTAATTTAATTACAAAACATTTAGATTTATTAATATTAGGACATATGTTAAAATAAAAAATTGCTCTATTTTTATTTAAAGGAGTTGATTGATGTTTTATCACCATTTTATTCAGCAACATTACTGCTTTCATCATCCAATTATTCTACAATTGGAGAATTTCATTTTACACTGTGGACACTAGTGAAAAACCTACATAAACAGATAGAAGTTGGCAATACACAATATATAGTAGCAAACTCAATTTTATATAAATTAGAACAATATTTCAAATTACCTGATGAAGCAAAAATGATAGCATCATTATTGGATCCTTCTACCAAATGCTCAACTTTTACAACTGATGAAATTACAAGAACAGTAACTGCAATAAAATGTAAATTAATTCATTACAACTCAAGTTTTAACATTAATAACAATAATACATCAACTATCACCACCAATAACCAAACATCACCATCACAAATAATTAAAAATAGAATTGATGCACGTGCACATATAAGAAGTTTAGCTAGTCAGTTCCTTCCTACAAATAATACTCATACAAATGATGAAGTAGAAAAATATTTATTATTAGCGAAAGAAAATGAATGCAATCCCCTCATGTGGTGGTGTACACATAAATAAACTTTTCCATCTCTATCTGAATTAGCAAAAGATTACTTGGCAATACAATCTACCTCAGTTCCATGTGAACAATCCTTTTCTGTCACAGGATTGACAATATCTAAATTAAGGAATCGCCTAGATCCTGAAACATCACGAGGTTTGTTATGCTTAAAAAGCTGGACTTCTGAAAAATTTGGTCAAGAATATGAACTTTCTGATGAAGAAGATAGTAATGATGTTTAAAAGTGGTTTGATTATTGGAACAAATTAATTTGTTTTTTTTAAAAAAATATTTTTTTTCATTTTTTTAAAAAAATATTTTTTTTCATTTTATTATAAAAATAAAATTCTTAACTTGGCCAATAAAATTATAAAAATAAAATTCTTAAATTTAACTTGGCCAATAAAATTATAAAACCGTGGTTAAACCTGGGTTTGAACCGCAGTTCAAACCATGATCAGTAAACTGTCAATCAGTGCAGTTCACTAGTCAAACTGGCAGTTTATAAACCAAACTGAACTGAAATGAACCATTCCCATCACTATTAAAGTGAGACGATTCTACATTATTATTACTAATTGCATAATTTAGTGTTGGCCACGAACTTGGTGTAATATGCTAACTTTATTTAATGTTTTATAATGGAATGAGCCAGATAAAAGTCCATTGGCATAATATGTTAACCATATTTAGTGTTTTATTGAAGATTTTGCCAAAGTTGCTGATGAATATAAAAACAATTCTATTTGATTATGAATATCAAGTATAACTTTTTAATTGCTATGATCTATGTTGTTAAAAGAATTAAAAGGAAAAAATAAATCAATATTGTAACAAGATTATTTTTCTTCCAAATGTTTCTGCTTTTTATTGGATAATAATACACTT